TGTCAAAGCGTCTGGAAAACTATAAATAACGGAGTCAAATCTGAACAGATTCAAAGTCTAATAATCTGATAAGTAAAAGCATATCTAAAACTATACAGAAAAGAGAAAGGTGAATGGCAAATCTAGAACCCTATATACAAGGCTGCTAAAAATCATTAAACAATGTCAATGGCTCCCTCGGCAGCTGCGATTTCAACGTCACAATTATTATAGTCATACGCAGCGCGGCGCTTCACCCGCGATCCTCGAAGGCAAACTAAGGCCGACCGAAGGAGGGCAAAGGATGTCTTTGCTCGGATCCAGGAAATTGTTTGCGAGTATCGTTCCCCTTTCTTGGCGGCTATCAGCTCGGCCAATCGGCTGTGGTATCTTATGCATTCCATCCCCATCCCTCCCGTAGTTGTAAATACAAGCGGCGTAAACGAGCCATGCTCAACATCCAACACTCTCCTTGAGTACAGCCGCTTCTTGTCGTTTTCATGGATGCGATAAAACTGCTGCGGTTCCTGGTCCTTGTAAGACTCGGCATTAGGGTGACAAACCCTCACATCGAAGAATGCCGAGCTCTGGGGATACCAGAAGCCACGCGCCCGAACGTCCAATCCTGCGTCTTGTGCTATATCATACCCTCTGCTGAGTTGTTCTTTGGTGATGCCTTGGAGAACTGGCTCGACCTCGACATCGGTACACACTATATTCAAAAGGTCGGCCTCGAGGTCTCTCAACTCATTATGCCGTTGAATAACAAAGCCCCTTCGTTTGCAAATCATTGCGTGGTCTATTGTGAGGTTTTCTCCACTCGCACACACTGAAGGAATGTCATCGAACGGCCAATCATAGCGTAATTTAACAGCATCGCGAAACTCTTTCTTGCTGAGGTTTAAAGCATGTTCTTGAAAGGGGAAGAACTGTGAGCCATACAGAGGAGCCTTTTTCTTGCGCTAGTTCCGGAGCTCGCTTGGTCTTCCGTGAAACAATTTAGATTATCTGCAATCTCTGAAAGTTCTTCAGCTTTTCCATGTTTGACAGCCTGACGCCCTGACGCGATGAGGGACTCGTCGGGTAGTTGATGAGTTTGAGCCATGATATTTTCGACAAGAGAAGATGTCACATGAATAGATGAGGCATGTTCGCGTGCCGCCTCGTGACATGGGTTGCTCAAGCTCAGGCCGCCTAGGCCCACGAGTAGTGGTAGAATGTCTCTATCCAGTTTGCTACATTTGCGCCCTGCGATTGCTGGTATAAGGACCTGGGGAATAGCCTATTCAAGTGGCTCTAGAAGATCTTGGACATCAAGGAGAGTTCTTAGGAAGTACGTCCAACGATGCTTTAAACCAAACGTGTATGCGGCATAATAATTATAATAATAATTACCTTTATTGAATCTAACATGAAAGTGCATAAAAAATAAAAAAACCTCGCAAGTTACGATTCTCCTTTTAAAGAAAAATATCACTAACCTACACTACATAATTATAATAATAATAATAACAGTAACATTACCAATAATAATAAAAATAGCCAGAAAGAAAGCCAACTCTCTTTGTAGCACAACAAAGCCACGAAAGTCGTTTCCATATTTTCTTTGTTTTGACTATCTTCTGCCGCTTTTTGCGTGTCCATTGGCGACATTGTCCAAGAATTAAGAATTTAGTTGTAATTCAAGTTTCTTCTTACGCGTGATCGATGCAGGCAGTCCCGAGCGAGCAAGATGGGCCCATTTTGTCCGCTCGGGAGGTCAATCAGAACACAGAATTCTCTTCATCTTACCCACGGGCGCTGGAAGCGATGCAATAAAAGAGCATAATATTCCAAATAATATCAGATTCCTATTTACGGTAGCCTTGACAGGACCAGCTCTATAGGTTTTTCGCGCTGATAGGACAAAGCATCATGTTCTGAATAATATTTAGTACCCGTGCAGTTGTGTCTCTCACAACTGAATCCTTTTTTACAAATGCACTTAAATGACCCCTTTGTATTGTTACAAGTGGCAGTTATATCGCTGCAGTTGTGGCTGTTTCGAGAACACTCGTCAATGTCTTAAATAAAATCAGCAGTCCGTATCAATCATGCTGATAAAGAATAATAATGAAAAGGGGCTGAAACTGGGCTTCCAATCTGAAAACCACAGGTTGCTGTTAAGATAAGAGACCTAACGTCACTCCAAATGGAGGCTGGCTCAAACTCTCTCTGAGAAAGCCATAAATTGTACTTTTCCTAAGTCACGGCATCTCAGGAACTCAGTATATTAGTTTGCAATCGAAAAGCAATATACTAGTCCGGGGTATTCCTAGGGAGTAGGAATACCAATGGATTGTATCGTTTGATAAGATCGTATTCTGCAGGGTTTTACCTTCGCATCCATGTCCATCCCCGCTGAATCCAGGATTGCAGGAGCAATTGTAAGATCCCTCGGTGTTTGTGCAGTTGGCGTTCTCGCTACAATTGTGGTTTTTAACACACTCGTTGATGTCTGAAATGAAATCAGCAGACTGTCAAAAGAAATGACAAACCAATAACAATACTATTTACAATAACAATAATAATAGTATTTATAATAATGATAATAAAGAAAAAAACTCGGCTTTAATTCAAATACTGCCTCACAATAATCCTAAAATATGCATTAATTTTAAACTTGCATATATAGCTAAAGCAAAAATAATAATTGCTTAAATAGTAATAAAAATAGAGAAAGAGTTAAAAACAAAAACAAAAACAAAAAACCGAAAAAGAAATTAGGCTCGCCCTCTTTTCCTTGAAACCACAATATCACATCTCCGTCAAATTATTTGGTTTTTATGTAGGGAGGTTGGTAAGTTTAATTACGTTCTAAAAATCTAGCAAATGACAATGATAATTATAATGATAATAATAATGATGATAATAGTAATATATAATACTAAGAAAAATAACAATACAGAAATAGTGAAAAATAGTTAGAAAAACAAAAAGGAAAAAAAACAAAACAAAAAAAAGNGCAGAAAAATATGCTTCAGTGTTGGACTGATAATTAATATGATTATTATATCTGCATCTCTAAATATTTCAAAACAGAATATCACCCTTTTTCACTGTTATGAATCTTGTCTGTCATATTCACAACTTTTGACCTAAGTGTACAACCATACATTAAATTCTACAGATGTTAATAAAATATGAAAACCATAATAGTTCCATAATTATTTATGTACTAATAATTGGATTTTGAAGATTGCATAGAAATGCACAAACTGAACACATCTGATTGACTGTGCCAAATAAATTAATAGGAATTACCCTATTCCAAATGTGGAAACTCTTTATTTTGTTTATGGCTCTTTCCACATGCACTCTTAAAGATGCAATTGATTGTGTGTCTACAGTGTCATTTGCACTAAACTGCACCTGGTCTCCTACAAATGGAGGCATGTTCAAGGAAACTCCGGATTGAAGGAGATCTTGAATAAGGAATCCTTTATCTGCCATCACAGAGTCACCAACATCAAACACTTGCTCTAAGAATCCACTTCACTCGACAATTTCTATATCCGAAATTCTTCCTGTATAAAGTGAACTGATAAAACTTATGCTCCCACCAGGTGTAATGCCTATAAGATCTTTCAGGGTCGTGTGATTTTTGTAGGAGCTATAAAGCTGACTGGTAAGTAAAAGACTCAAGGGCATTTGAGATGTAATCTCTGTACAGTCTATGATGACTGTTGTATTTGAATATATATTTTTAAATCTTCTGGCATATGTTGATCAACTTGTTCTCTTGAAGGTCAAATACAGAACTTACTAGACTTGAGGTATATGAAAGAGATCCAAGAAACTATTATTCGTGATACAGTAGACTGGTGGATTCCATACAAATGGGATAGATGGTCTTCTGGGAATCCCTGCCTAAGTCTACAGAGGGTTAGAAATAATTCTTCTCTGGGATCAAGTGATCTCGGCTTACCAGGCTTAGCTCTACTGTAATTATTGTCTGCATAGGATGCATTCTTGTACTTTATGTTTTCACCATTTTTACCAGGCTGTAAAAATTCTAAATAGCTCTCAAAGATTTCAGCATTTGGGAAGCCTGTATAGAACAACATTGCAGGGTTATCGTTCAAAAACTTGTTTACACTAAAAAATCTCTCATTTTTCCTTTCGCTTTTTTGGCATTTCTCAGTCATGCTTTTAAATTCATCGTTCAGGGCATAACATTTCTCTGCTTTCTTTTTTAGCTGATCATTAAGAGCACCTACGTTTTCTTCAAGCTTATTAATCATAATTTCATTGCATCTGATCTGATCTTGTAATTCAGTTACAGTTTCGTTTAATGATTTCGTGTTGTCCAACAGTTTAGGCAGCCTTGAAGAATTCTCCGATACATTATTAAATTCAGCGAGAGTTATATTCGTTTGACAGGCAAACTCTTTTGTTTTGGGTTCAATACAAGTCGGTTCCGTGTTACTATTTGAGTGTGATGGACATGGTTTCTTTGGACTCAGTACGCGCCGTTCTTTGGGAGCCTTTCGCTTTCGTGGTGAATCCTGTTTCCACTGAAAAATCGAAGGGACAGCATCTTGCTACAGCTTTCTCACACCTGCAAGGGTTTTCGTCAAGTCACTCGCATTGAAATGTCTACTACACACCTTGGTATGACGGTCGACGATCACAAAATTATCACCAACATCTCTTCGAATTGCCTGAATCCATTTTTGTCTCAGTGCTTTATCACTTGGAAATTCAAAATGAGATATCTTCTCACCATTAGTCACGTATGTCTTCCTAGTACACAAAGGGACACAACAGTTTAAAACCATATTACGAGTAGTTAGCAAGGGAACAGCGTAAAAGGATCAAATAACAACAAAGATGGCTAGCCCGACCGTCCTCGTTTTGATGTTTTTTGAATCAATTAGAACCCATTACCTCACGGAAGTTTTGGGTATTGCATAGGGTGTATGTTACCCATAAATTTTTATTTGATAAACAAGATCATGCTCAGCAGGATTATACCTCTGCATTCATGTCCATCCCATCGGAATCCGGTATTAGTGCAAGAGCAGTCGTAAGATCCCACGGTATTTATACAATTGGCATCCTCACCACATTTGTGGGATTTTTGAACACATTCGTTGAGGTCTGAAATGAAAT